CAGGATTTTTCTTCGGTTGCCTTGCACCAAAAATAAGTTAGGAATCCGATTGTAACGGCCCCGGAATTTTTAAAATGAAATATGTGTATTAAAAAGGTCAAATGCGGAAGCGAAATAAAAATTTGATTAACATCCCTTACACTAAAACCAAAAACGTGCTTAAAGTATAAAAGAACGAACTAACTAAAAGAGAAACCCGAAAATAAAAGCTATAAATATAATTACGGAGTCTTCAGGCGTCCCCTTCGCCGTCTTCCTGCGGAACGGGCTCGGGAACAATGTCTTCCTGATCTGAAATGATTAAATAAAGAATGAGCTACACCAGCCCAGTAAAGACATCACACTATCTCACCGTCACGGAGGTAAAGGTGGGTAGAAAACACAAAAAGACCAATGGAGCATAATTTACAACAAATTCTTTTATCAATAATAAAATCTTTTACTATCCACTTACCTCGGTGAAATTCATAAAGGAATATACGAAAGCAATAACATTATCATTATCATGAAATCATATGAGCTGTATAACATAATACTTATCACACATTTGCTATTCAATCATTACACAACATATTTTTCCTCATTTACCAGCCTACTAGTATCCATGGGGATCCATAGGAGTCCCGCTACCCGTGAACCCTTACACTTTTAATCAAATTCCAGGGCCGTCCCCATACCCTGTCCGGTATGGGCGCCAAAACTATAAACCTCAATACCCCGTCCGGTATGAGGGTGAAACGGGCCGTCCCCATACCCCGTCCGGTATGGGCGCCAAAACACATAAGGTCTCTATACCCCGTCCGGTATGAGAGACCACAATCCCGGTAGGGTTCCCTACGGACCCGGTCTGTCCACTATCTCCCAGGATATCTAGTCAGGCTGACCACATTATACAATTATTAATTTACATAACTTTTCATTCCCCTTTTCCTCAGTCAGCATCATCAATTCACACACAAACAAGCAAACCAGTAATTTATGCCAAACAAGACAACATACAACGTCGGGTTCTCAGTCATTCAACCCATAATCAATAAAACAGTAATATGTGCACACGAAACTATGAAATGAAAATATAAGACCTCATACTGCATTTAAGACCGTAAAATAGGCCAAACAACAGCTAACAGACAAACACACCAGACTCGGGCTCTATTAACGACCTTAAACAATTTCACACATCTGTTGATTCATGAAATACTGTTTTATCATTTATTAAACTTTAATACCGTGATAGGAAATAGGGTGAGGGGTCCTTACTCGTTTTGGTGTCCGAATACTGCTCCACAGTGCGCCTACAGGCTGTCCCTAATTTTTTCTGAATTTTTTCTGGGGAACTGAAACGCACTACTGGTACCTGCACGTGTTCCAAAAAATCCCAAATTAGACCCAAGGCCCCTATCGGCCAATATCGCAATTCCGGCACGGCGGCTCCACCGTGCTCCGGCAACAGCGCCGCCGCTTGCGGCAGCAATTCGCCTCGGGTTGGCCTTTTTCGACCGTTTCCGGCCGAATTCGGCCACACTTACATCGGTCCCTGTGATAAAACAACCCTAGGGCCCTCGGGGGACCAAAAAATTACGAAAAATCGAAGCTTACCGGCGGCGGTGCTCTCGGGTGCGGCGGCTCTCCGGCGAGGTTCGTGTTTTGGTGATTCGGCTCCGATCAACCTGTAGAGAAAAGAATGGTGATCACGGTGATATAAAAATTGCATCAAACGGAGGCCGAGAAGGGCCTCATCAGAGGCAAAACCGAGGAGGGGCGCGGCGGCGCCGCTGGGTTTCGGCCGTATTTTTCGGCCGTTTGGCTGGGATTTTGGCTCCGATTTGGCCACAGGGGAACTCAGCGTGGAAAAATGAGTCGGGGTATGAAATTTACCTCGATCGGCGGTCGGAAAACTCCCCGATGCGGCGGCGGGTGGCGGCGGCTGGCTCCTCCGGCGTTTGGTTCGTCTTCTCCGGCGAGGGCAGGCGGCTAGGGTTTTTGTGGTCAGGTGTGGGGGTTCTATTTATACCCTTTTGCCTTTTGATCTCAGCCGTCCATTTTGATTAAATATGGGCCGTCCGTTTTTGATTGAATCTGGGCCGTCCGTCCGCGTGCATCTGGGCCGTCCGTGCGCACTCTTGATCTGGACCGTCCGTGCGCACGGGGACGCATCTGGGCCGTCCGATCGCGCGCACGCGGATCGCCCACGTGGCCCGTTCCCTGGTCGACGTGGTCTTGCCACGCGGCAGTCCTGGTTGGCCAGGGCTGCTGACTGGACCGCTGACGTGGCTGCTGACGTGGCTTTTTTTTAAAATTAAACTAAATAAATAAAATTAATAAAAATAATAACAAATGCTGAAAATATTTGGGCGTTACACCAATGGTCAAAAAATATAAGGGAACAGGAACGGGATTCAGGCTCACTAGAGGGGTTTTAGGTCGCAGGTGCGGTGGCTTGGTCGAGCTCTGCCACTGTTTCTAGCTTCTCCTTTCATTTTTCAGCGTCGTTATGGGTTTAGGGTGGCTTAGAATCAAAATACAAATCGAAAGGAAAAAAATCTCACCTTCCAGCGTCGACGACGAGCTCTGATGTAGTGGTGACAGCAGCCTGTCTTCTTCTTCGAAAACTAGTTCACTTCCGACCACCCCTCTTCTTCTTCTCCGATTTTCTCTTGGCGACTAAGGTTTTTGGGGTCCGGATGGAGAGGTTTAATTACCTCTTCACTTTCGATCTGAACTATCCATTCAAGGAGGCGTGACTTAATTTCAGTCATCTGATCCATCTTATTTGGAAAACAAATCAGGACCGTTCGATTGTGCTTGAAGGGAAAACGAATCTCGATCGTTCATGTGTGCGAGAGTAAATCTGGGTTGTTGGATCTATTAGCACGCGAATTGCCCGCATGGCTTCTCGCATGAACGCGTATCCACGTGTCTGCCACGCAGTGCATGACAAATGGTCACGCTGCTAATGTGGCAGTCCCACGTGGCCATTTTTCCGTTTTTTTACTTTTGTCCTAGTTTTTCAAATTATTTTTTAAATATGTCCTTTTTTATTTTCAGTTTGATCCTAATTCTTGAAAATTATTTTCAAATACACCCAAAATACATATTTTTAAAAAAATTTTAAGAAAAAATTAAAATTAAAATTTTCTAAATTTATTGTTAGTATAATTTTAATTATTCCGAACCTAAATTCCGAATTCGACTGTTACATCAAACTTGTAATATAAAAAAAATACGTAAAAATTTTAACTATCATACTGCAGTGTTAGTAAAGATTTCCATTTAAAATTAAATAATTATATTTTTTTTTATCATATGTATGCAGTTATACATAGAGCCAATTCTAAGAGAAAAATCTTAGGAAAATTCATGGACCATGTTTGTTTATATCCAAGGTGTGATGTTAGTTGTATAAATCCAACTTATAAAATTTCTCTTCCATTAATACCAAGATTTTGGGATTGAGGACGATATTTATTGGCACCCTAATGCTCGTATAATCATAGATTCTTCTAATATGGATGTACATGGAATATAATTTTTTTAGTTATATAGAATAAAATATAAATATTATTTTATATGAATAAATTATGGGTAAGTAAAGAAATTTTTAATATAAATATAAAAAATTATTATGCTTCAGTTTCTAGTAAAAAATAAAAATAAATAAAAAAGTATGTTATCAAAAAATTTATATAGTGCATAATTCTAAAATTTGTGTCCCAACTAAAAATTTTTATATCAGATAGAATATCATATTTAGATTTTATTTTTATATTTAAATAAGTAACTATGTATTATTACGTAATGACTGACACTGTGATATTGATTTGGATATACGCACGCATACATGTTTTTTTTTGTGTGTAGTAAAAATATATATATATATACATTATACATAATGAATTTCACAATAAACAAAATGTGTTAATTTGTAAATAAACCATAGACAATAATTGGATTAGTTCTTTTAATTTAAGCTAATCTCATTTAACAAGTTCATCAAACAACTAATCCCCATGAATCAAGAAAAACAAAAAAGTATTAACAATCAGCTTTTCTACAGGTTTACGAAAAGGACACAACATTTTCTTCATAACTGGTAACTGTAACACCATTACAAAAGAAATCAAGAGGTTTATATTCAGGCAACCCCTGTATTCTAACCCTCCTCAGCTTCTGTTTCTCATTATTGTAATAAAACACGTAGAAATGCTTTGATAAAACACTAGGCACCAGTATGACCTCTCCCGTATGAATCGTACCCACAACAACATAATCCTGTTCTCCTCCTATTTTTCTCAAGTAAGGAGGGAAAATTATACTGTGTTTTACCCAGAATTTATCAGGGGAATCGTGTTGAAATAACCAAACACTCACCTTATTGTCGTAGCCAATTCGGGAATCAACAATCCCCAAAGTCCCACAAAATTTTAATAGGGATGATGAATCTGCTAATTTTCCCGCGCCTTCGGGGAGTTGCGTCACCTCGAATGTCTCGTTATGGAGATTGAATCCAACCAGAACAACTCGATCACTTGTCCTGCTCACTGTTACCCAACTCCTGAAATATATCACGCCATTGATGCAAACACTCTCGCGTTGTGGATAATAAGGAGGTCCACCGGGAATTACCCTCCATGATATAGAAGAACTCCCCAGGGTGAACACACAGTACCGGACAAAATTTGGAACTCTGTAATTTGAAGCTTCTCCTGCAACAATCCAGGAATTCAAAACTTTGTAGAGCTTCTCAACGGGGTCAAATCCGAATGAGTTGACGCAGAAGTAAGTAGAGGAGGCGAGAGGGGATTTGAGAGGGCAAACCAAAGGGAGAGCAATGGACTCCCTGGTGCTGGGGTTGCAGATGGTGGCCGAAAGTCCGAAATCCATACAGACAATGCCGTTTACTGAATGAGTTGTGTAACGTGATAATCGAGGCGGCACTATCATACGTCGAATGGCTTGTCCGCCATTGATGTCGGCGGAGAAGAAGGAATGCGCTTGGATTAGCGGGAGTCTGGTGGCGCAAATGATCAGGAGAGCAGGCGGTTTCTTCGGAGCAAGAATGAAATGGTGTTTGGCGAAAGATTGAGCAGTGATCATGGAGGCGCAGAGTTTGGAAACGCAGCGGAAACGGACTAAGGACTTGACAGGAAGCTTAATGAGAATGTCGAGGATGATATCGGGAGGAACAGGAGAGCGGGAGAGAGTCATGCTCTTGAGAGGACGTCTAGTGATCTTCTTCTTCATCCTCGCATGGATTTCCCAGTGGAAATGCCAGGGAATTTGCACTGGATTCAGTTTAAGAAGATTTGACCAATTTTCAAATTTCCCAATTCCCCCTTCTTTTATATAAACTTACAATTATAAACATTACACACACACACATACACACATCATTCGCAGCACACATGAATTTCATGTTCCAACGAATCATAAATTTTTATTTTTTAAATACTTCTCCTCCCACTTTTGCCACTTGTCACAGACAATCTATGCCTGAGCTTCATCTAAAACGGACGAATTTCTCTTCTGATTTTCTTTTTCAATTTAAATAAATTTTCTTACATTTAAATCAATTTGAATTCAAATTAATTTATCATTATGGCAAAATTCTATTACAGTAATAATTTAAATTTTTAATTATTTCTTTTTTTTTTCCCATATTACTAAACTTTCCTTTAAAGTTAATATTCTTCTGTTTAATTTTCATTTTCACCTCCTTTGACTGCTTTTTTAGGTTATTTCATAAAAATTATTTGAACAAATTTTTCATAAGGTAAAGTATTTTTATAATTAGTTGAACATTATACATGGAAGAAAATATTTAGTATTTATGTTATTTATTAATAAAATAATAAATTAGATAATTAAAAAATAAATTTTTTGAAAAAAAATTAAATAATTTCTTTTCTCATTTTTCCTAAATATAAAGAAATAGAAACATAGAATTTTTAATTTAAGAAAAATGATAAATGCTCATCATCTTCTCCTTATTTATTTATTTTTTATCAAAATAAATGAATGAAAGTAGCATAGAGTGCAGATAGTATTGTACAGTACATTTTTATGAATTGGTATAGTACTATCGTTTTTTTGTACCTTAATTTATAAATTTTATTTGTTTATCGTGCTTATAAATTAAATATTTAGATGTCTAATAATTTATTTTTTTTTTTGAAAAAAAAAATCATATTGATTATATTAAAAGTTAAGTAATTTAATTAATTTTTGTCAAAATTAATTATTACTAACATTAATAGATGTGTACATATAAAATTATGTCTGAAATACCAAATATAAATAAATTTGAGACAGCCACCCAAATTTAAGATATTATCAATATAATATTATTACTTTTCTATTACAACAAAATATATATATTAATTTAAATAAGTGGATTAATTAGTGGCTGTTGCATGCTTCAGAATTAATTAATTTATTACGGGAAGCTTTAGCCGTGTGATTGCGTCACTCTCAAGTCTTGTTTCTTTTTAGAAGAAAAATAATTAATACAAAAATTATGACGTAATACAATGAGGACAAATTCATTTTATATAGAATTTAAAAGTCAAATATTTTAAATTTTATACCCTTCAAATTGATATGATATTTTTTTAAGGCGCATTTACCAGTCAAATAGGATAGTCAGAGTCAATCACCTTTGAATTCATAATAGACATATACATTAATCCATTAAATATTTCATTAATCCACCAACTAAACATATTATTATTTTTTTTTATAAAGTAAGATTTAAATAAATATAAAAAGATTTTATGGACAAAGACTATAAAATAGCATTAAGAATTGGACCAATTAAATTATTGTAGATGACCATTTTATTATATTGTTTTATTTCTATTTATCCAACTTATTTTACTCTTACAAAAGTTAAACATAATTTTTTTTTTCAATTTATGGTATAGAAGTCGTGAATTATTTTTTAGCACCCTGTTAAGACTCATTCCTTCAATCTTTTAAAAGAACAAAAGAATATCAATCACTTTTGCACAAAAAAAAAAATCATTGTAAGGGATGCAAAATGACTATTTGTTGAGCACTGAACCTCTACGATCAAGAAGTACCATGGTCGCGAAAGCTTGAAAGTCATCCATGATTATGTCCCAAATGGAAACATGCTTGCTAAGAAAACCTTAACCAGTCGGTTGCAATGATGATCTTTTCACATTTTACAAAAACATCAAAAAAAAAAATTTAACCAATTGATATGAATTTTAAATTTTTAGATAATAAATTAATTTTTTTTTTTGTACTTCATATTAGAGTTTATTCCTCTAACACCATATTAAATCAGTCAGAACATATGCAAATAGAATGATTATCTTCTATAGTTTAGTATGTTCAAATATTTTTTCTTAATTAGTTAAGAGAAGAGACAATCATGACCTTTTATATTAGTTAGTACTCCAACAAATAATTCAACCTTACATAAAGCTAAGAAAACAAAAAAAAAATTATTAGTTTATTTCTTCATAATTCTCTAAAGCTTTTATTTTATTTAAATTCTTTTTTTTTTGCAAAACATTATTAATTTAAGCGTTGAAATGTCTTCTAAAAAATAATATTGGGTTTATTGTTTTCTACTAATTTCAAAGTGCTTGGTGCATGGCATGATCATAAATTGTTTCTCAATTTCCATCAATTATGAGTATGTTATTTGTTTTGTTATTAGAATGAAATGAGAAACTTAGTAATACAAAGGAGGATTACTAAAGTAGAATATGAAAAAGGCTTTAATGCCAATATTTCACCCCCCAAAACAAAAGAGTTAGTTAGTCAAGTTCCTCAAAATAAAGCTTCTAATATAGAAAATAGCGAACTGACTAAAATTATGTAGTAAAAAAATTAGTACATGAAACATTACCTCAAAAAAGTTAAAAAGCAATTAATAATTGATATCGATTTAAATAATAGTATAAGAAATTTTTGTAATAACAATGGATAAAAAAAAAAAAAAAAGTGTGATAAGAACTTGAATCTAAATAAATAGTAGAAGTGCACGAACTATTATAAATTTCCCGTTTCCATAAAAATTCGAATCTAATGAAAGATGAAATGTCACCTCGATCATTATAATTAGATTTTTTTAGATAATACATAAAAAAAAATTATATTATTTTTATAAAATTCAAATTAATCTTTATACTATTTTTATTTTAAATATAATATAAATTTTTAAATTTTATTTGAATAAATATTTATTATTAATAATATATATAATATCATTAAATAAATATTCACGTGATAAACGATGTGTCTGTATGAATATTAATTTTAAAAATATTACTAACATGACAGTTGCATGGTTGCTACACTATCAATTATTTCTTTTTATTTTTTAATTTTTAAACAATTATAAATTAAATATAAATTTTAAAAAATTAATAAAAATATATAAAACTATAAAGGAATCTTCAATACTAATACGAATACTCCACTCTAGTTGGTTAGTTTAAAAAAAACTAACTTCGATCCTTTTTTATTTAACTCAGATTTCGGTTTAAACCTGCAACAGTCATGAATGGTTTTAGCTGGTAACTTATTTTTTTAACATCCCTGTATACTATCCTAATTTTTTTATTCAAAAAAAAAAAAAAAAAAAAGCTGTTAACATCAAATTTTTAAAATCACTTTTTTTAAAAAAAAATAATAATAATAATAGTAATAGATCACGTGCCAAAAGTCTGGGCCAATCTTGGTCAAACGACCTGAAAATGCCCATAAGAAACTGAATAAACCGAGAAAATGAAAATGAAATCGAAACGGGCAGAAGTCGTTTTTCTCGGGAAAAAAAAAAAACAGAAATAGTTTCCTGAAAGCAAAAATATAGCAGGTTGTGTAAGTAGAAACCGAAATCAATTTGAATATAAGAAGTGCATTTCAATCTGCGAAACAATGGCAGTTAATCCATCGATACATTACGCGCCTCCTCTGAATCGAACGCTACTCCGCCGTTCCCCTCTCGCTATCTTCCATACGGCTGCTTCGAAAACCTTTTTCTACGGAGAATCGCCGAAACCGAGGATCGTCGTAATGCGGTGTCAGAAACCTGTTTCAGACGAATCCCTTACCAGTAAAGCTGCGAAATTGGCCGATCGCGATGCTCCGATGGGATCTTCCGGCTCCTCTTCTTCCGCGGTTATCGATTTTCTCACATTGTGCCATCGACTCAAGGTACGAAACGAAAGTGCCATCGATTTTCTCACGTTATCGATTTTCAGCTTGATACCCGAAATAACTTGGATGAAGAACGCAAATGATTTTTTTAAATAATTTTATTGATGCTCGCTGAAGATTGAAATGTACGATGGATTATCGTGTCCAAGTAAATTAGCTTCATTCGCGTGAAAGTAGGTTTCAAACGGTGAGTTAAATGCGCGTGCTCTCTGGTTAAGAATTGAAATTATAAGCTGAGCGTTGTTTCTTCGATACCAAACGGAGATTTGGTGTATATATTAAACTTTTTGTTTTTGGAAAAAAAATTTAGCTAATTGACGCAAAGCACTTGCACTGATACTTTGTTTGCACGACTAATTGCTTCCATTAATTCGAACAACGAATAAAAAAAATTAAGGGATCATTTGCTGCTTCTTTTCTCCGGCTTATTTTTTGAAGGAATTTTGAATTGAGCGTCTGTAAAAAAATTGGGGAATTTACTCTTCTTGTATGTAGTTAAAGAAATGGCCTAATGGTTGGTAACATCATTAATTTTTTTCTTCTATATCTATTGAAGACCACGAAAAGGAAGGGATGGCTCAATCATGGGATAAAGGGTCCAGAATCCATTGCTGACCATATGTACCGCATGGCTTTGATGGGATTGATTGCCGGTGACCTTCCTGGTGTTAACAGAGAAAGGTCGACCTTTTCTCATATCATGCAAAAGGCTTGCACTCTTTATTCTTGAACTCTTATAACAGTTGTCTACCATATGTTATACTTCATGACTGGATGAATAACTGTGAATTATGTCCACATTATTTTCGAACACTTTTCGGCATTTTTACTTTCAGAGCTCAAGCTGGAGGTCTGTTATACAACAAACTCATTGTTTTTATGTTTATTAGTCATTGAAACGTACGTCCATTTTATTTCATGTGATATTTTTTCTGAAATATGCATGTCAGCCTGCCAGAATCTGTAGCACTCTTAAAATATGGATTTTGGTTTTGAAAATGCAGTGGACTACTTTGCTTATCTATCCTTATAGCTATTCATTGGATGCACTTAGGTAACTTCTTCAGCAACTTGGCGATGTTTTGCCACAGCAACGAGTTGTCTAAAGATGTTAGTGGCTTGCGCTAATCTGTGATTACAAGTTTATTGCTTAAAAACAAGTAGAAGCTGTGAAAAACATTGCAATGTTGCCCCAGCAATGACAACATCAGTTTTACTGATTTAAGTTACTGTAGCATCTATTAAAAATTAACATTTTACAAAATTAGAAATTTTGTATAAGCTCAAAACATTTAGTTAGAAAATGAGGAAATTAGGCATGAAAAATTAAGAATCTTATATTTGTTAGAGGTGAGCGCACAATGTGAAATATGAGATTTATGCTTTGAGGAAGGCGATGGGGCTGGGATAAAAATTTAGTTAATGCCAGTTTCAGGACTAAGAGTAGAAAAACTGTTAGTTCATGCCAATTTCAGGATTAAGAGTAGAACATGAAGGAAACAACATGCAAACTGTCCAAAGATTAAATATGCAGCATTGTAAAAGCATTAGAGATGTTATAAATTTCTAGGGTTACTATTTATAGGGAAATTTTTTATTTCTCACGGATTTAATTATTTGCTTTTTGAGCATAAAGTTGGGGAGCAGTAGATATGATTATTTTAAATTTTCATTTACTGGGTTGAACTTTTAAGTGACAGAGAATATTAGGCATGTGAAACAGAAATGCAAAAATTGGCACAATTGGGATGAACTACAAGCGTACAAGTTCAGAGAGTAAAAACTGGTACAGTTAGGATGAACTATAAGTATACAACTTCAGAGAGCAAAGCAACAAGAAAAAATGGTTTCTTGCCAGTGTTGGCATTTGTGCTAAACAACTGATGAAGAGTATAACTTTCAGAAAATATTCATTTTTGTTCTTTGACTCTTTTTCTTTTGCAACAATTGGTGAAATAATTTGTCATGGGATCCTCTTTTGTCTTCCGCTTCATTGGATGAAGTTAGTTGACGTTGAGTCTGTCAAGTGCCTGGTGAGTAGTAACTTATATGACCCTTCTGACATCTATGATGCCATTTTTCTCCTAATAGCAGTCCATGCTGATATTTCAACCTTATAGTGGATTTACTCTGTTAATTCTACTGGCTTATGGTGGACTTGTTCTTTTTTCTTTTTGCTTTGTTTTTTGGCTGGTATATAAGGATTTGAAATTTTGTGCCGTCTGTATTTAAACAGGTGTATCAAGATAGCAATTGTGCATGATATTGCAGAAGGTACTTCCAACTCCCTTTTGATTTTTTAGCTATCTTAGCGATATTTTATGAGTTTGTAATCTTACAAGGTGGAAATGGCAGCAACACTACTGTTTATATCAACTTTGTTTCGGTTTTTTATGAGCCTTTTCGATCCATTTCATGCTACATGGGTCATAGCCTCATCTTGTTGTATCTTCCCACTTTCAGTTCTTTAATTGGTTAAATGAATTTACAATTAACAGAATAATCAATCAGATTCACTTTTATTTGTTTTAGCATAGTTGAAAAAGTAATCAAGCTTGACTAGCATTGCCAGATTGAAAATGAGATTTTAGGAATGCGAGTACGATTTAATGCTAGAATTTAAGATGGAATTTGGGTAACCACGTTACAAATGGACCAAGTGGCAAATCCTTATCTAATATCTATAGTTTCTTCCTCACTTCTAAGATCTAGTTTCTAACAGTTAAGGAGGAACTGTGCCTGCTTTATTCAAATCTTCATTGAATTCCGGGAATCATTCATTCAGAAAATTTTCTAGTATGGATAGTGGATTGTTTCTTTTCAAGTTTGACTTGTCTCTCTGGGTTTATATATATACACTTGGTGTTTATATTAAGACTAACTTCGAGCTTGGATTTGGACTTTGATAGCTATTGTTGGAGATATAACACCATCTGATGGTGTGCCCAAGGAAGAAAAGAGCAGACGAGAACAAGCAGCTTTGAATGAAATGTGTGCAGTTCTTGGTGGAGGAAGGAGGGGTATTTAATAGCTGATTTTTGTCTTTGGAAGTTCCGGATTTATTAATATTTGGTTTCAAATTGTAATGGTGGTTTGTTTTGTGCAGCTGAAGAGATCAAAGAACTTTGGGCAGAATATGAAAATAATGCTTCTATAGAAGCTAATCTTGTGAAAGATTTTGATAAAGTATGTAGCTCGAATTTATTTTTTGAAATTCTTTTCTGGCTTGGACAAATATTCCCCATTTAGAATATTTGACTTAATTTGCTGTTAATGCCTTTCCAAATGTGACTTTTCATCTTTGGGCAAGCTTAGCTAAATAGAACATGTTTGTTCATATATGCTGAATTTTTTTGGTGAACTCATATATGCAGAATTTTTTTGGTGAACTCATAAATGCAGATTTATATGTAGCATGCTCCAACACATTTATTTTCTAGCAGAAGATAATAGCATGAGTTCTGAGCATGTTCTCTCTCTTTGATAGAGTGCTCCAAACACACTGATAAAGAAAACCATGATTCAACATTACTTTATTTGTGACAGCTTTCTGCGTCTAATTCCTTTGATCTTCTAAGTGAGGGATTACAAATGGTAATCTACTGAGGGATGAATGTTTGGTGTTTTAGGTGAGAAAATGCATAAAAAAATATAGGGCTTTCTTTAGTATGTGAAAACATCTAGCTTTATTTCCTAATTGATATATGTTTAGGTATTTGTTTATTATTCAAGTTTAAATGAAAATCATTTTTTAAAGATGTCAAATATTACTTTTTTATTATTTTCTAATATGCATTCTCTGTTTTCTCTATCATTTCTAAAGATATCACTTTTATTTCAAAAAGAACACATTGGTTTTATGTATAAACATGTGAATTTAAGAAATAGAAAATGGAAAATGTCTTTAAGTGAATTTAAAGAGAGAAGAAGGAACATATCTTCGTGTGCCAAATGGATCCTTCATGTTTTCTTTTCCCTTATTTTAACTGAGGATTATGCTTGTCGATGAATCAGATTGAAATGATTCTGCAAGCACTGGAGTATGAAATGGGTAATTTCTTTTCCTAATGCTAGTTCCTGTTTATAATGCTTGTGAGCTATTTTAACCTTCTCCTTTGAAATTTTAATGTTGTGGCAGAACATGGAAAAGTACTTGATGAGTTTTTCCTTTCAACAGCAGGTAGAGTCAGCTATTTTTTTTTCCTTAATGCAAGCATGGAAGAACTGATACTGTTGATTTCTGTCATTTATAACTCCTGTCCAGTACTCAAGTCTATTTGCCCATTAATTTCAGGAAAGTTTCAAACTGATATTGGAAAAAGTTGGGCAGATGAGATCAATTCAAGAAGAAATTCACGATTAGCAAAACAAGCATAAAAGATCTACTGATGGAGCTCCAGTCTTGATCTTTCTCTTACTGCAAAGATACCTTTTTTTTTAATAGGAAGTTTTGTGGGATGGCATTTCATACTGATATTTTGCCGCCTTCATTATCTTTCTTGTTTCTCAAGGAGAAAACCTGAATAAAGCTGAATTGGGAAACAGTGGAAAGAGATCATTCAGACTGTAGGAATAAAGCTCTGTCAAACCTGGAAATTTATGCAGGTTAGATTAGGTTGTGTGATATTAGCATTTCTCAGATGAAGCTCTCAGAAATTTTGGAATGAGGCCATTGTTATATGTAAAGGTCTTATGAACTTCCTAACTCAACTGTCTGGACCTTTGTAATTCAGATTAATATATTCTGCCTTGCCCAGGTTACCAACATCAGATTTCACCTGTAGTTGATTGCAGTTTTGAATATGGCAAGTAATAAGCTTGTTTCTTAAATATATATTTGACAACAGAAAGCCGTTTTCTTTCTTTGTGTGTGTGTATATATAATATACACACATATATATATGAAAGTGGGTTATATTTTCAGGTATTGGATTATGAGGTGACAGATGATAAGACTTACAGTATGTCCGGAACAAATGAATTCTAACTATTCACTCCGAGTTCCCCACTCTTCTGTTGGAACAGAATCAATATAACCACATATTATTTATCATCTTCTGAATATCAACTTGTTTGCTCCCATTAGGGCTTAGCTGGACTGGTATGTAGTCCACCAGTTGAGAGAGTGGAGATACGTTTCAGTCATACAGGTAATCCAGCCTTCTTTCAGAAATTGGTACGCTAGTTTCTTTTCTACGTTTTAAGATGCTTGAAGTTCTAGCTCTTCTCCTCTTATTTAAGCTGTCTGCTACTAATTTTGTGGGCGCTTGCGAATGCTCATTTGTTAGCTTGTCACTTGAAACTAAAGGTGAGTCTGATGGAGTTTCAGTTTTATTATGCTTATTGTCATTGATGTTCTGCACTTGATTATCTGACTCCCTCTTGAATTTCTGCTCCTTTTCTTACATTTTCGTTGCCCTGATTATTATGTACATATTCACTTTTGTTCTTACCCCTTTTTCCCCTGATAGTAATTGTTGCTGGAAAATCTGGTACCACAATAGTAAAAGAGCCAAGCTTACTTCTATTTATTTTATGTTCATAAATAAACAAACTGAATCATTTGATTTGGTTTTGGTTGAAGTTACAACTTGAATTTGTACACCATCCTCCCATCATGATTGATTAAAACTGAACAACATCGGGTCGGAGCCCTCCTGTGATTGGTCTTATTGTTCAGAATTGACTGCAATGATAATTGGGGAGTCTGTGCCGGTGAATTTGAGTAGTCGAGAAATGAATGATAGGAAGACTGAATTCATAGAAAATTCTTTAGTCCAGACTAGATCACCCCACTTGATATTGTTCGTTAAATTTATATGAAATGAAGTATACGAATGAATTAAACTCTTGTGGTTTGAAATCAACGTACCTTAAATCTTACACAAATCTTAGTAGGAGGTCGGTGTGAGATGCTGAATGTTGAACTGATGATTGATGATTCTCTCCTACCTAACTAAACCCTTGAACCAAACAAAAACAAAGGATAAAAAAAATAGAGGCGGTCGTATTTTGTACAATTGAGAATGTAGAGGAGGTTGACTGACTGGTGGGCGCTAAAAACGGACATGGACTCAGAAATCTAGCACTTAAAATGTATGGCTGTATCCATCAATAATTTGCATCTTCTTCAACCTTTCAACTTTGGCAACGAACCTCTCTCCATGGGTCAAAACATATGCAAAACTTGTTTCACTTACTGTATTACTCCCTTCCTACGGGATTTTATGGAATTAAAAGTTACGAATATATTTTACCTGAGAATAGATTTAATTGCATTAACGTTTCTTTATAAACCCAAAAATTAAAGGCATAAAACTCCACCGACAAGCCTATTTGATTATTATAATTTTCATGCACGCTATTAAAATCTAAGCAAAAAAGGCAATAAAGTTTGAAGGGTTTAAGAGTCGTCGTATTTTGCAAAACACACATGGTGATGATGATGATGATGAAATATTGCCTCAAGTCAATGTCATCATTCTACTCTTTATTATGTTTTGATTCCACGGGTTGCCCTAAATTTTGTCAATAATTTGTAACATAAGTGCCCCACCACCCGCTAAAGTACTTGTTGTCATTTCCTACTCATAAAACACACATGATTCCTTATATTCAAATTTATTTATTTATTTTTTTATATCTTATAACAAAATTAAAACTTAATTTTTCTTTCTTAAATTAAAAAAAAAAAAAAAAATGTAAAGCTTAATATGTCTGTTCATTACAGTGCATTATATCTGAATTTATTTATAGAAGACAATAAGAATACTAATGCTTCAATCTAAAAGAAATTTAATTGATTATAAACATATGATATTTCCTTATTTCTTAAAGTCATTACTACACTTGCATACTTTAAACTCTCAAACCTAAAGATGCCTACTGTATTTATTCTGCATTCTCTGGCACACCCACTTTTTATAATTTTAATTCTTTGAAATCATCATAACATACGTGTACTGTATTAACTTCACCATCTATGTATATGCATAATAATATGGTATTCCTTCCGTTGATGTTATCCATGATTATTTTCATTTAATATATATAAAGGTTTTGAGAATATGCAATATATTATTAAAATTTAATGTTCCAAATGAATGTTATTAATGCCACTATTTAAATAATCAGAGAGAGAGAGGGGAGAAGGCTGGTTTCTTGTTCGTGTTCGTCTTTGAATATAAACCCAACAATCAACTATAACTTGTAAAAACTTTACACTCAATAAATTATGATATAAATTACTATGTTATATAAGTCAACAATTAATCAAGATTTATCACGAGTTTTATATATATATATATGAACAAAAATCAAGATCAAAATGATGAGAACTAAGCTGATTGGTAGTATGCCTTTAAAATATTCAGTCAAACTTAGGGCTCCAAGAGAAAAAGTCCAAAAGTTCATACAAATGGCAGCAGTTAATCCCAGTATTTAATCTTTTTTTAATTACGTATTAAATGCTTTTTCTTTTCGGCATTTATTGTAAAATAAAACGAAAGGGTCCACTTGTTAATATTTAATTGGAGAGCTGAATTAGAATTATTTTGTTTTTATGATAAACTTTTCTATTAATTAATTAAGATTTTAAATTAAATATTTAATTTTAAAAAAAAAACTACACGCTTTCTCCGAATATTAGGACCATGATGTTCTGATTATTTTAAATTAATTTATTTTATTAGAAAAAAACAAAAGAAAAAAGAAAAAAGGAGAGAAATCAAATCTATTGTAATTATTTTTTAGAGGTCTCTATCAGTATGGCTTCTGATTTGTGACCCCACAATCCGTGTGTTCCTACGCTGAGCTTCTCCTCTGAGAAAACAAGAGACATTCATCCAAATTTGCTTCGGCTTTTCGAAAGTCTCGAAGATTAAATCCCTTGAAACATTTGCAATCCATGAACAACTTGAATTTTTGCGCAAAAGGTAAGGTTTTTGAGATTTTAGCTTCTGGATTCTTTGGTCTTTCTACATTCGGTACTGAAGATTTTGGAGCGTGATCGACTGCTTCAAAAATTTCCCACTTTCTATTATTGCAATCAGCTTATTCATCCGACTCTCTGCTTTCCGACTTCCGCAACTCGAGTGATTACTCTTTTGCCGAAAACTTTCTGGTGATCCAGATTTTGGCTCTAGTACTGGTAGTCTACATGAGTTTTGCTATTTTTAGAAGTTCTGGTGATTTGGGTTTAGCTATAAAGGTGCTTTTTGATCTGGGTTTGGCTAAAATCATGCCTTGATCATCTGTTTTATGATCAAAACCTGAGTGGCGATCTGGGGATTTGCTGTATATGAACAGAGTGATTGGCTGATCCTCGCTTGTTACCGAGAAGGTTGCTGTATCTTCAAGTTACTGTGTTTGTTTGGTAAAGTTTGGTGGCTGAGTAGTATTTTGTTGTTACTGTTTCGACATTTGTATGTGATCGAGATTCGACAATGGTGAATTGGTGATTGAATTTTTTGGTTTTTCCACTGCCAAATTTCATGAAAGCACATAGATTTTGTTACATAGATAGTGAACAAATAATCACTAGATTTGCTTTAAATTATGGCAACCACCTCTCCACCTCCAAATTCAACTCCCTCCGGGGGGCCACCAACTCCGCCGATCACTTCATCACCACCCTCTGGTACCATGTCACCGCCACCCCAATCTTCATCTCCTTCCCCTCCACCTTCCCAGCCTGATGCAAATCAAACAGAACCGCCAAGCTCTTCAACTTCATCCCCACCTCCACCAGGTCCCTTGTCTCCTCCTCCAGCCACACCACCATCTGTGCCATCACCACCTCCTTCTGTACCTTCATCTTCACCCCATCCTCCTCAATCTGTTCCACCTACAGCACCACCTCCACCATCACCTGATGCTAGTCAACCACCAACATCCAATTCTCCACCACCACCAACATTATCATCACCACCACCATCTAATTCATCAACTTCACCACCTCCACCAACATCCAATCCACCAGCTAATTCGCCTCCACCACCGCCATCAAACCCCCCTAGAAGTCCACCTTCACCACCACCACCATCATCATCACAACCGCCAGAAACTTCACCTCCACCACCTGCATCTATTCCTCCTCAAGATTCACCTCCACCGTTGAATTCACCTCCACCACCGGCATCAGATCCTCCTGAAAATTCACCTCCACCACCAGCATCCAAGCCTCCTGATAATGCACCCCAACCTCCTATTGCTACTTCTCCACCTGCTTCTCACCCCCCACCTTCACCTTCGAAGTCTACTCCTACGTTATCACCTCCACCTCCCTTAATAAAATTGTCACCACCTCCTTCCCAAAATCCAGTCCCACCTTCAGATAATGGGCCCACAAATGGCTCTAGTCCTAATGCACCAGAGAGTTCGCGTTCTTCTGGTAGTACTGCCATTGGTCCAGGAGGTGTGGCGGCTATTGGGGTTGCTGTGGGGCTCTTAGTGCTTGGTCTAGTCGGGTTGGCTGTTTGGTGCTTGAGAAAGCGAAGGAAAGATGTTGCTGGGATGAATGGTGGTTATGTTATGCCCTCACCCATGGGCTCTTCGCCGGGATCAGGTAAGCTTTGTAAAGCCTTATCTCTTTAGCATTTTATTGCATGTCATTTTCCTTTAACTGGTTTGGGCTCCAGTCAAGGAAGCAGTTGGTGTTTAACATCTTTATATTCGATTTCTTGCTTTATTTTGGCACAGTTTTTAGATGTGCTCAAGTTTTCCAATGTTAGGTATAGCTGGGCAGTTGGATAAAGACATTTCATGAATGTGACTATGGTTTGATATCATCAGGACATGAAGCATTTTGAGAATTGTAAATTGGAGGAGAGCTAGCTTTTAGATCGAACGTCTCAAGTTAATAACTAAAAAAGAAAAAATAAGAAAGGAAGCTTGAAATCTGTTGAGTCCTATTCTTGGGGCAGTAGATTAGTCATTGCGAATATGTGATATTTTGTTTTATATTCTTAAACAATAATCTGTAGTCAGCATGAAAATATTTTTTTTGGAATTGGGGCCATTTGTTTGAGTGATTAATATTTGCATCTTTTGACCAGATTCATCCTTTTTGAAGACGCAAATGCAATCTTCAGCTCCCCTTGTAGGAAGTGGGTCTGGCAGTGGATCTGTTGTATATTCCCCACCTGAGCCAGGTGGATTGGGCAATTCAAGGTCCTGGTTTACGTATGAAGAACTTCTCGAGGCCACAAATGGTTTTTCAATTCAGAATCTTAAGGGCGAAGGGGGATTCCATTATGCCTATAAAGGGCTAGAATCAGATGGGAGAGAAGTATAATTTAAGCAGCTAAAAACTGAAGAGAGCAAGGTGAACGAGAGTTCAAAGCTGAGGGTTGAGATTATTAGTCGCATACACCCATCGCTATTTGGTTTCACTTGTGGGTTATTGCATTTCTGATAGCCGAAGATTGCTTGTATATGACTATGTCCCCAACAATAATCTTTATTACCATCTTCACGGTAAGCTACTACATGACTTTGGAGGATTGGCTGATGATGATGGCATACTGACTTTTTTCTTCTTGTTCTTTTAGATGAAGGAAGACC